TTCTAATAATTCTGAAGAAAGGTGGCGATCTGAGGACCAAACTTACAGTTTGAAGACACCGCTTTTGACGAAGGGTGCGGAGAAACTGGCTGAGGTTAACAGGAGAGTTACAGTTGTTTGTGACTTCCTCTGTAATCAGGATTAGATTAAGAAGAGGAAGGGCTGCGATTATCGTGCCACTGTGTGTGTCTGTGAAGATATGACATGAGTGTCGCTACGAGCTCAATTCTCAGTTACCTAGGAACCTGAAAATTTTGTTGCAATCTGATTATATCCTAAAATACTGCTGTGCCTGGAAAACATCTTCCAACTTGGTGTGTGGGGGGAAATTCCCGTATGTGTGTGTCCAATGTTGTGTAGTGATCGCAAAATTCTTTTCCATTTTTACGGTTTCCCAATTATAAAAGTATGACACGGTTGTTATAGGAAATGCAAAGAAATATTGGGGGTTCTCTTAGGATTTTTTGTCTTGCTTTACCTTTAAGGTGTACGCCTGGAGGAACCTAATGCAGAAATACAAAATGAAGTGTATCTTAGAATTCATCACCTTAGATTACCTGTACAAATATTACTGAATACAAAGCATCCCCCTTGGTTGCTATGGATAGTTAGGAAAAAGTCATAATCTACGAATTTTTAAAAAATATATAAAGCAAGGCCGGGTGTGGTGGCTCACGCCTGTAATCCTAGCACTCTGGGAGGCCAAGGAGGGAGGATCGCTCGAGTTCAGGAGTTCAAAACCACCCTGAGAAAGAATGAGACCCTATCTCTACTATAAATAGAAAGAAATTGATTGGCCAACTAACATATGTAGGAAAAATGAGCCGGGCATGGTGGTGCATGCCTGTAGTCCCAGCTACTCAGGAGGCTGAGGCAGGAGGATGGCTGGAGCCCAGGAGTTGGAGGTTGCTGTGAGCGAGGCTGACGCCACGGCACTCACTCTAGCCTGGGCAACAAAGCGAGACTCGTGCCTCAAAAAAAAAAAAAAAAGAAAGAAAGAAAAGAAAACTAGGATAAATGAGTTTAGCAAGGTTAAACTCATAGACTCAAGGTTAAACTACTAGAATCAATGAGTCACTTTGCAAAAAGTTTTGACAGTTCATTATAAAGTAAAAATGCACTTACTATATGACGCATTGCATAGATACAGCACATTTTTATTTAACCATTTACGTCGGACATTTAGTTTTTCCCACTTTTTGGCTATATGCTGCTATGCAGTCAGTAGCTGCCAACTGCTTGTGTGGACACGTTTTCATTTCTCTAGACACGCCCAGGAGTATGCACCTGCGTGCCTAGGTAACTGTTTAACTTCTGAAGAAGGTGCCAGGCTTTTCAAAGCACCTGCAGTTACCTGCACAATTTAAGAGTCTCACCGCGAGTGTTACAAGAGTTCCGCAACTTCTCCAAATTCTTGCTACTACTTCATCTACTTGCTATAGCTATCCTAGTGGTGTGAAGTGACATCTCATTGTGACTTGCATTTCCTGGATGTCTGATGGGAGCATATGTTCATGGGTTTTATGGCCATTTGTATATATTTCCTTTGGAGAAAAAGTCTATTCGGATTCTTTACCATTTAAAGCATACGGTCGGTTGTCCTTTATTGATTTACGAGTCTTGGTACTTATGATTTGCAGTCCAATAGACTGGCTTTCACTTTCTTGACGTATCCCTTCAAAGCACAAGTCTTAAATTTAGATGAAGTCCAATTTATTTGTTTTGCTGTTTCTGCTTTTGGTGTCTTATTTAAGAACCACCATCTAATACAACCCAAGTCTCAAAGATTATTCTAATTTTCTAAGAGTTTTATTATAGTGCCACCTTCCTGCTCTGCTGCCCAGGCTACAGTGCCGTGGCGTCAGCCTCGCTCACAGCAACCTCCAACTCTGGCTCAAGCGATTCCTCCTGCCTCAGCCTCAAGCACCTGGGACTACAGGCACGCGCCACCATGCCTCGGTAAAATTTTTAGTAATATTGTTTGTAGAGACGGTGGGGATCTCCCTACTTGCTCAGGTTGGCCTCAAACTTCTAGCCTCATGCAGTCCTCCTGCTCGCCTCCCAAAGTGCTAGGATTACAGGAGTGAACTTACCACGCCCAGCTCGGCATTACCTCTTACATTTAAGTTTTGACTCATGTGAGTTCGTTATTGCATGTGGATATCCAGTTGTACAGCACTGTTATTGAAATAGGAAGGATACATTTTTAAGGAACATTTTTTTTGTGAAGAAAATAAAATGACACAAAGAGCAGAGTAGAAATTATACCAAATTACCCATCATGAACAAGTATGATGAATTAATTTATTTCAGCTTAAAGCATATCAAATAAATCTGATCTAAGACTTTAAACTCTTCACAAGTGAAGGAGGCAATTAACTGGGCTAAAGGAAGGAAGAAATATTCTTATCTTTAGTGTTTGCCCAATTTATCCAAGCATTTAGAAGAAATAATGCGAAATTCTAATTTCTTCAAACACAGACCGTTTAGTACGTAAGTCAAACGCAATGCCCAGGAACAGGCTGAAGGGCAGAAGGGAACTCGCTTCACGTAAATACCAGGTAGAAAACTTGGGTTTACATGAGGATAAGTTACAAACGGTGGTTTACAACAGGCTTCCTTTAAATAGATTTATTCTGGTGTGTTTAAACTCAATCCTATCTGCAAAAACAAAAACCACAATGCGCAGACTTCTTCAACCATAGCTTTTGAAACACTTGAGTGCGGCACTGGTTACGTTTCAAAACAGAACTTTGCTGGAGATGGAATAAAACAAATATATCAAAATATGCTTTCTAGGGGAATCTCAATGAATATCCTTTTACGAATCATTAATCTCTTATAATTTGAAATTTGCATGTTAGGATTAACTATACTTTGTGAACGCGGTATTCAATGACAAAAAAGGGCAGATGTTTGACAAACCACAGTGAATAACGTGTTGTGTCTTCATCCATTAAAATCCTTCCATCTATGGAAGTATATGTACATACCTATTTTTTTTTTTTTTGAGACAGAGTCTCACTCTGTTGCCCAGGCTAGAGTGAGTGCCGTGGCAGTCGCCTCCTCACAGCAACCTCCAACTCCTGGGCTCAAGCGATCCTCCTGCCTCAGCCTCTTCCGAGGTAGCTGGGACTACAGGCATGCGCCACCACGCCCGGCTAATTTTTTTCTATATATATTAGTTGGCCAATTAATTTCTATTTATAGTAGAGACGGGGTCTCGCTCTTGCTCAGGCTGGTTTCGAACTCCTGACCTCGACCAATCCTCCCGCCTCGGCCTCCCAGAGTGCTAGGGTGACAGGCGTGAGCCACCGCGCCCGGCCATACCTATTTTTTTTTATTTATCTTTTCAAATATGGGTATATGAGTGGGTGGAGAAATCTGTAGTTAGCACGCTTCCATCTTCAGAATATTTAAGCTTCTCCTAAACTTCTAGAAAAATCCATTATATAATTGACAAATTTTTTTCATATCCATTGTCTCAACTGACCATCTTTTTCCAATTCATTATGTGGAATGATATTCCGTTAGTCACTCAACACTGAATATGTGTTTCATTATTTTAGCTTCCTTGCAAACACGAGTAGACTTTGGAAAGAGGATGAATGAAAGCCTTCTCCCGATTTTCTGATGAGCACCGGGCTCTTCCGACAGGAGTCGGGTAAGTATTATATTATATTATACCTTGTATTATTCTAAAGTGATATTTTGACGATGAATCGTGAAAAATCACATCACCTGTGTCCTTCTTAGACTGCACCGCAGCACAGAGATCATCTCATGGCTCCTGTCCTTTCCCTTCTGCCTGACAAAGTATAGCTACTTCTATTTTAGGGTACCCTGGGACAAGGAGATTTTTGCAGGATTTGATATATTTTGCTTTAGCCTGATTTTCAAGCCGCAACTTAATTTTCATATTGAAGGAAAAAATCACATTCAGGCTTTTCCAGGTATCCCGTGAACATTTGTGAGAATTGTAAACCAAAGCTCTCTTAGGAACTGTACTCTTGTTCATAAAAGCGGTCACTGTTTGCATGACTCCTAGTCGTTATTCTTGTTTTTAAAGTAGACTGAACAAGGTTAAAAGTATATCCGGGTGACACTACTCAGTCTTAGAGTAGTAAGTCCAAAGATAACACCTCTTGGAGCATCAGTTCCCACTGACTTACTGCCTTCTACATTTTAGGAAACGCATAAATGCTGCAAGATGTACCAAAGTAAGAGCAGATTTTAGGATGTGCGCAATTAGAAATTCTAATTAAGAGTCAGAATTACAAACTTTGTCCACTGTACAGCATCGTCAGTTTATAAAATATGGCAAACTGAACTTTAAAAAAAAATGTGGACTAAGCAGTCTTAATAATAAAAAAAAAAGCGTTAATATGTTTAGGTCTCTCGTTTGAATGGATATCCATCACCACATAGCAAAATGCCTGAATTTATTAGTATTAGCAAAACTCGAACATCTGTGATCCTGCAAGGACGACCGGTGTTTCCTGGATAAACCTTCCATCTCAATTCCTTCTGAATCATGTTTCGAAGCGTACTGAACTGCATCTTTAGCTCTCATATTTAAGAAACATTTTATTATATCTTTTAGCAACTTGACAAAGTGGTTGACAGCGCCCGCTTCTGCATCAAACAGGTGCACGTCTAAATCCACAAAAAGACAAGCGTTGCCAGAAAGCTCATGTAGTATTTTCTGCTGCAGATGCTCCCGCTGCTTAGGAGCTAGTTCGAGAGCTGCCGTTCTCGAATGGGTCCGCACGACTCGCTCACAAACGCCCACCACGCGGCAGAGGCTTTCTGAAGGGCAATGCAGGCCGTCCTTCTTTTCCACACATAACAGGGACCCGATTTTGGGGGTTTCGAGGTCGGACGCGTACAGCGCAGTGACACAGTCCTCGCAGGTTAAGACAGTGGACAGCTCGTTTGCGACACAACCGGCGTGACAGGCGACATTCCGCCTGTGATCCGGGAGGTCCAGCAGGGCCTCGCTGAGCGAACAACCGGACCAGTCTTGGCAGATGTCCCCTTTGTGGAAGAGGGTCTTCTCGGCGCTCATGCCATACTGCCGCCGAACCGTCCAGAGGGCCAAGTCTTCCCTCCGCGCGACCGAAATGTCCAAGATACTGACTTCGCTTAGGTAAGCTCCGTCGTGAAACCTGTACCTGGTCTCCAAGTTCTGGTAAGCTTTTTGGAAGCCCGTGCAGGTGGGGCTGGAACTGGTCACGGCCACCTGCCTCAGCATCTTTACAAACAGTTCCACGTGATCCTGACTGAATTTGTAAGTCAGAAGGTACGGAAGAGGCAGGACCTTCTGGGAAACGTAATTTTGGTAGAGCCATTTCAAGCTCTCGGCGTTGAGCAAGAATCCCAGGAACCCTAGTTTTTGCTTGCCTTTGAGGATTTTATTATTGCTGGTGTCACGCAACGTCACAAAGATAGCCTTGGCTTCCATGAACACCTGGTTTATCCTACTGTAAGTTTGAGGCGACAGCGGCGCTTTAAGCCCCTTTCCGTGACGGTTCCTACTATTAAAAATGTCAAAGAGATTGCTAATTAAGCGCAAGAAGTGGACGGTACCCAGGCAGTTTTGAAACGGAGGCAGGCCTAAGGACCGCAGGTATTCCAACGCTCTGGCTGCGTTCTCGCTCAAGAGCTGGGCGGCACGATTCGTTCTCAGCACGTGACGTTTCAAACCCGCCAGTTTCCTCGGCACCCTTTCCAAGCTGGATAATTCCTGCTCCTCCAGCGCCGCCAGCTCCACCAGGTGCTGCCAGCCTGCGGTGCCGTAAACAAAACGGATGCTCTGAAGATTCTCGAGCGCGTTTCGGATCAGCCTCAGCAGGTGGCAGGAGTCGAAGAAGTAGGCGACCTGCTGGCTGGATGAGGAAGGGTGCTGAAAGGTGCACCTCATGTCGTCCCTAGCCACCTGGATCCCCAGCGCCTTTGCCATCTGGACGCCCTGGGCTGTGGCGTCGGAAGTGACGGCCAGCACCGTGATCCCAACGTCGCTCAGTTTGCCGATGGTCAGACGGAGCAGCTGGGCTTGCAGACACCCCGACGCCCGGTCCACGAGAAAATACCCGAGGGGGGCGCTCCAGTGACCAGCAACGCCCACGGCCAGCAGCAGGACGGCTTCCGAGGCCAGGGGCGTCTCGTCGGCGTCGAGTTTCCCCAGACCGAAGTCCACGGACCCTTGCCAGCGGTCACCGCTGGGGTCCCACTGCAGCCGCTGCCGGAGGGGGACGCTTTTGATCGCCAGGGCACAGAACTGGTACAGCCGGTCTCCGCCCTCGACCTTCCGCTGAAGAGAAGAAAACACGCGGCTGTCGAAACCCGGACCCGGCTGGCACCTGGATAACCACCTGGAACACACAGAAAGCGCAAGACACGACACTCAAATGACAAAACCAGAGATGACAAAGATCAAAGGGGAGACGCCCTGGGGGGGGGACTCACGTGGTCTCACTCACGTCGCTGTGGAAAAACTCAACACGAAGTAGCTGGACGCTACGTTTTCAAGCACGTATTCCTATACTCATAATAAAGTAGTGAGACAACATGGAAACTTAGAAACATGAAGCAGTGTTTTTCTTTTTACCTTTTTTGGGTTTTTTTTTGCAACACTGGCCACAAGGAACACAAAGCAGCATTTTGAATTTCTCATTTATTCTTTAAAAAAGTCCACAAACAAACTATGCAGTTTGTTTTACTTATTTATTTAATTTTATTTTATCTGAGACAAGAGTCTCACTCTGTTGCCTGGGCTAGAGAGCCGTGGAGTCAGCCTCACTCACAGCAACCCCAAACTCCTGGGCTCCAGCGATCCTCCTGCCTCAGCCTCCCGAGGAGCTGGGACTACAGGCATGCGCCACCACGCCCGGCTCATTTTTTCTATATATATTTTTAGTTGGCCAATTCATTTCTTTCTATTTTTAGTAGAGACAGGGTGGTCTCACAGAACAAGTTTTTAAAAAATTGAAAGTGGACTAACAAATGAGAGTATGAGTACTAACAGCCTGAATGTATAAAGTGCAGTAAAAGAATATATGTATTTAGCATCTAAAACACAATTCACTTACGTTCTGAGGATCGAAGAATGAGGAAGCTGAAGGATCTTTCGTACATGGTCATACACTTTGCTACCGCACAAGTAGAGCGTGCATGCAAACTGTTTCATTTCTGTGGAGTACTCCTCCGTTTTGCTCCAATTATACAACTCCCACTTAAAATCTGTGAAAATAAATGTATTTATTCTTTGTGATAAAATGTTAATAGTAACACTTTCAAGTGCAGATCGTAGCGTGTGGATACAAAGTTCACGGGTTTGGATACAAAGTTCACGGGGCATCAAAATTCAAATACAAAGACAGTCACATTTTAACTGAGTTTGTTCGGAAGTTAATATCCACTTACAGCTCCTACACCAATTTTTGGTGTTCGTCTTAAATCATTTCACTGGGGAGAGGCAAGAAAACAGTTTCGACCTGAATCTGGTTTTCCTATCTGCTGGCAGCCTGACTAGAGATTTTTAGAGGAACAGGGAAGAAAATGAAATAACTGTGTAAAATCAAGTCTCTGGATTATGAGGACACTTGTTTGTTTTATTTTGTTCCCTGGTTACTATTTACCTGAGAGTGAAAATTAGATATGAGAAACATTTCTAGAGATAGGGTCCTATTCAAATTGGTAGACCACTGCCTGCCATTGATAGAGAAAAAAAAGAAAAATCCACTATTCCTGACGGGTGCTCCTATCTATTACCTCTATTCCCCTCTTAAAGAATCACAAAATATGGCCAGGCACAGTGGCTCACGCCTGTCATCCTAGCACTCTGGGAGGCCAAGCTGGGAGGATCGCTCGAGGTCAGGAGTTCGAGACAGCCTGAGCAAGAGCGAGACCCATCTCTACTAAAAATAGAAAGAAATTAATTGGTCAACTAAAAACATATAGAAAAAATCAACAAAAACATATAGAAAAATCAACTAAAAACATATAGAAAACATATAGAAAAAAGCCGGGCGTGGTGGTGCATGCCTGTAGTCCCAGCTACTCGGGAGGCTGAGGCAGGAGGATCGCTTGAGCCCATGAGATTGAGGTTGCTGTGAGCGAGGTGCTAACGCCACGGCACTCTAGCCCTGGCAACAGAGAAAGACTATCTCAAAAAAAAAAAAAAAAAATGCAAAATATTCTTCTCCTTCAGACATACCTACTTGTTTCTGGAAACAGGACATGCTTCTCTTTTCCCAGAATGTAAGCCCAGATCTCTGCTGCCTTCATCAAAGAGTAAGTTGGCAATTCTTATTTCACTCTTCTTGAAATACCCCAGTTCACAAAGAGGACTAGGTAGTCTTTCCATAGATTTATATATCTACTCTATGGTATATTTTTTCAAGAAATGTGGAGAGGCATACAATTTCCAAGTTCAAAGCAATTTTGCAAATTATGTAGTTCAACTCCACTGCAAAAAGACTCTGGTAATAAATTACGCAGCAGTTAAAATTGTTTACCAGCAGCATGGGTAAGAGAGGTAGCACAGAAAGAGAACAAATACAAAATTGTGTAAACCATACGATCTCGTCTCTGATTAGTGGCATTATGCGTTATTTTTATCAATATTTCTTTGCTTTTCCTATAACAACCGTGTTACTTTTATAATTGGGAAACCGTAAAATGGAAAAGAATTTTAGCGATCACTTTTCATTCTTCTTGCTCACGCTACGGAGAATTTCACTCTCCAGATGGAAGGATGTTTTCACAGGCAACAGCAAAGTATCTATTTAAAGGTATTTCAGAAAAATAGCTATTTTTGCAAATATTTCAGGTTCCTAGGAGAAATACCTGAGAACTGAGCTCGTAGCAGACACTCTGTCTCTTCAGATAGCAGGTTCTCTTCAACGAGTGCATCGATTAATCGCAAGCCCTTCCTCTTCTTGATCATCCTGTAGTTTTTTACAGAGGAAAGTCTCTTTTTGGACACTTGTAACATCTCCTGTACCTCAGCCAGTTTCTCCGCACCTGTCGTCAAAGGTGTCCTTAAACTATAGTTGTGGTCCTCAGTCGCCACCTCTTCAGAATTATCTAGAAGGGGTTCTCTTAGGATTTTTTGTCTTGCTTTACCTTTAAGGTGTACGCCTGGAGGAACCTAATGCAGAAATACAAAATGAAGTGTATCTTAGAATCCATCACCTTAGATTACCTGTACAAATATTACTGAATACAAAGCATCCCCCTTGGTTGCTATGGTTAGGAAAGAAAAGGTCATAATCTATGAATTAAAAAATATATATATATATATAGCAAGGCCGGCCACGGTGGCTCACGCCTGTAATCCTAGCACTGTGGGAGGCCGAGGTGGGAGCATTGCTTGAGGTCAGGAGTTCAAAACCAGCCTGAGCAAGATTAAGACCCCGTCTTTACTATAAATAGAAAGAGGTTAAGAAAAAAGAAAAAAAAAAAAAAGAAAATACAGTGTCTTATTTTTAAAAAAGAAAAAATTAAAAAAAAAATAGAAAGAGGTAATTGCCTAATAATATAAAAAAATTAGGCGGCATGGTGGCGCATGCCTGTAGTCCAGCTACTCGGGAGGCTGAGCAGGAGGATCACTGGAGCCCAGGAGTTGGAGTTGCTGTGAGCGAGGCTGACTCCACGCACTCACTCTAGCCTGGGCAACAAAGCGAGACTCTGTCTCAAAAAAAAAAAAAAATATATATATATATAGCATACAGCTGCAGTCCCTAACCCGCGTACCAGTCGTGCCCTGTTAGGAACCCGGCCACGCGCAGGAAGTGGGGGAGAGGCAGTCTGGCGAGCTACAACCCTACCGTAAACTGCGCGTGTGACGGATCTAGGTTGTGCTGCTTAGGAGACTGATGCCCGACAATCTGAGCTGGAGCTGAGATGGTGAGCCTAGTGCTGGCTGCACAATAAATGCAATGATATACTGTGCCTGGGTCATCCCAAAACCATTCCCACCGCCCCCACCCCCAGGGAAAAACTGTCTTCCATGAAACCGGTCCCTGCTACCTAAAAGGCTGGGGACCGCTGGTGTATAGGACAGTGGTAATAGGGCGGTTTGGGGGATGTATACAGAAGTATGAATATGATGCTGACAGTGGATGAAATGATTAAAGTACTAGAGAAACGTGGTAATAATTTGAGAAAGGCATCAATGAAATGACTTTAGGTGTTCTTTTTTTTTTTTTGAGACAAGAGTCTCGCTTTGTTGCCAGGCTAGAGTGAGTGCCATGGTGTCAGCCTCGCTCACAGCAACCTCCAACTCCTGGGCTCAAGCAGTCCTCCTGCCTCAGCCTCCCCGTAGCTGGGACTACAGGCATGCGCCACCACGCCCGGATCATTTTCCTATATATGTTAGTTGGCTATTAATTTCTTTCTATTTATAGTAGAGACGGGTCTCCCTCTGCTCAGGCTGGCTCGAACTCCTGACCTTGAGTGATCCTCCTGCCTCGGCCTCGGAGTGTAGGATGACAGTGTGAGCCACGCGCCCGGCCTTGGTTGTTCTTCGAAGGAACAATACCATGGCTTAATGGAGAAGACTGGGAAGTTATCTGTACAGAAAAGAAGCTTGTAGACACAGTGTAGCTTTGAATGAAAACTGACCTGGTTTGAATGTTAACTCACTTATTAGCTGCCATGTACGCTTTACAATCCCTATGTCCTCATCCGTAAAATGTGGGTAATAGTACAATGCTGTTTGAGGTACAATACAATAACTTACATAAAATCTCCTAATACAATGCCCAGACCATTGTACTTGATAAACAAACTGACTTTACACAAAAGCACGAAAGCAGGCAATTTATCAGAAGAGTAGATAAGTATATGTGGTTTGAAAGAAAATCCAGGCAGTTAAAATTCAGAAATCGCCGGCGTGGTGGCTCACGCCTTAATCCTAGCACTCTGGGAGGCGAGGCGGGGGATTGTCAAGGTCAGGAGTTCAAAACCAGCCTGAGCAAGAGTGAGACCCTGTCTCTACTATAATGAAAGAAATTAATTGGCAACTAATATATATAGAAAAATTAGCCGGCATGGTGGCGCATGCCTATAGTCCAGCTACTCGGAGGAGGCTGAGCAGGAGGATCGCTTGAGCCCAGGAGTTGGAGGTTGCTGTGGACGAGGATGATGCCATGGCACTCACTCTAGCCTGGCAACAAAGGGAGACTCTGTCTCAAGGAAAAAAAAAAAAAAAAAAATTCAGAAATCAATTAAGGAAGCTGTTGGAACTTAAGGGTTTGAACTGGACATACTACACTTCTGAATAGGGGAAGGAGACAAAACAATACTGAAAGAAGGGACTTAAGTATAAGAAGAAGTCAAGGCTAATGTCAGGATAGAACAATTAGGTGAGTATTACAGACTGTACTTGGGGTAAAGAATAAAATAAAACAATCAGAAAAACGTAAGAATGTTACACCAATACTAGTGACTGACTCATAGAATCTCTTATATTTTTGGTATCCTTCTTGCTATATCAGTCCTAATTATTAGGTATTTTTTCATCAAGATCATCAATAGGAGCCAAAAAAAAGATAGATGATTTCAACTATTATGAAAGCTGTCTCATAGTTAAGAAAAAGCCTGAATTCTAAGGCGTTTATATCTACTAGTTGATACCTGCGATTAATTAGTAATATTTACACATGCCTAGACAAATGATTTGCATTATACATTTTAAAAGCTCCAAAAGATGCTATATTTTATTTTATATATTTATTTTAGACAGAGTCTCGCTCTGTTGCCCAGGCTAGAGTGAGTGCCATGGCGTCAGCCTCGCTCACAGCAACCTCAACTCCTGCTCAAGCGATCCTCCTGCCTCAGCCTCCCGAGTAGCTGGGACTACAGGCATGCGCCACCATGCCCGGCTCATTTTTTCTATATATTTTTAGTTGTCCAATTAACTTCTTTCTACTTATAGTAGAGACGGGGGCTCGCTCTTGCTCAGGCTGGTCTCGAACTCCCGCTTTGGCCTCCCAGAGAGCTAGGATGACAGGCGTGAGCCACCGCGCCCGGCCGAAGATTCTAATTTTTTTAAAATAATTTTTGAAGTATTTAAAATCTATTATTGGATTTATTTTAAGACTCTCGCTTTTCTGTCTGTAGATTTTAGCTATACTGTGAACTGCTTTCATTTTGAAAGGCCCTGTAAAATCCCCTTCCCTTCATGCCCACGTGTAAGTACCGTGTACAGAGAAACAGAAGGTACGGCTTCTCTTTTCAGCTTTCTTCTTATGCCATACGACTCAAAGTCACTTTCTTGAAAATGTCTGGAACACAGGAAAGCACTTGGTCCCGGAATCCAAATCTTTCTGCTCTCGGGGTCCACACGGTTCACGGCCCTGATCCATCTTGAGCGCTGCACGGTATCAGTTGGAAATCTGTGGCAATCATATTGAAGGCCCATTAACACGAAAATATCACAGTGACACTACAGTAGCATTGTATGAACTCGTTATTTAACTGCCTTATAGAAAGCACAGCCAATTAAAAGTTTAATTTACTTATCTGATTTCATTTTTCAAAGTTCTTGGATTTTTTTTTTTTTTTTGGAATCCAAAAGCTCACTGTCTAAGGTGATTCTGTCTATCTCAGTTTGTACACAGCAAGTCTCATTTACATCCTACTGCATTTTGTCTTCCCTCCCTAAGCTTACCAGAATCTGCTCAAATTTGAAGGGTTATAGAACATATATGCATGCCTGTCATCCCAGCACTCTGGGAGGCCAAGGCGGGTGGATCGCTCAAGGTTAGGAGTTGAGGTTACCAGCCTGAGCGAGACCCTGTCTCAACTAAAAATAGAAAGAAACTAATTGACCAACTAAAAATATATACACAAAAAATGAGCCGGGCACGGTGGCGCATGCCTGTAGTCCCAGCTACTCGGGAGGCTGAGGCAGGAGGATCGCTTGAGCCCAGGAGTTGGAGGTTGCTGTGAGCGAGGCTGACGCCACGGCACTCACTCTAGCCTGGGCAACAGAGTGAGATTCTGTCTCAAAAAAAAAAGAAAGAAAAAAAAAAAAGAACATATGTTTCTTTTCCCTTCCTGTGGCAATTTTAAACGAGGCCCATAAATTCTTCAGCGTTTCTCCTTTCAAGAAATGGAGCCTAATTCCCCCCACCCACCCATGTTGAGTATGGGCTGGTGTTAGAGATTTGCTAAGAAATGGAAAAGTAGAGGTGACAGTGGGTGACCGCAGGCTAGATCATGGAAGGGCCCGGGGCTTCCTCTTCTCTGCACTGAGTGCTTTGCTCTCGGGGAAGCTATCTGCTCCGTTCTAAGCAGTCCTGCAGAGAGGTCAAAGGCCATGCAAGTTACCCCGTTTGAAAGCAGATCCTTTGGCCTTTAGACCACTGCAGTCTTATGAGATACCCCATAATACCCAGCTAATCCACTCCTGAATTCCTGACCCTCAGGATCTTGCGAGATGGTGTTTCCTTTGCATTTTGAAGTCATTTGTTATGCAGCAGCAGAAAACAAGGACATTCACTGTACTCCATATCAGTACGGTTTTTTTTTTCTTTGAAGGCACTACTTTTTCCTAGCCTTGATTATAAAAATCACCTTGCGATTCTCTTATTTTTCAATCCCAGCCGAATTATTATGTTTAGAAACTGGCGAAATTAATGTGATGAAAATCACAGAACCATTCTTTCTGTGCCCTCCTCTTTGACTTATCTTGGAGACAGATTTATAGGGAACCTTGTGTGTTTTCTGTACATTCCAATTTAGGCTTTAAAGCCCACAGTAGTTAGCAACTGAGACTGGTGAAAATTTTATTTTCCCTCAGCTAACTGGGAGAGAAATCATATAGCAGTTTGGGCAACCATAATTCTGAGACACTCTCTTAGTCACCTGGAGAAAGAACATTCAATTGGAAAACCTGTACTGAAACCTCAGTGACCTTTTACTGGCTAAGGGTATTAGACACATCCCAATCTCTGAGGCTCCACACAAGGCTGGAGTGAACGCATTCGGAAGCACTTTGTGAGCTGGAAAGTACGATCCCAAGTTTGTTCTTTCCTAGGGACAACTGATTCCAATTCCCGTGTTTTCATTTTCTTGCACCAGGAGGATGCTGCTACTCGATCAAGAGAGAGCCAGCAAGGAATGGTGTCTCCACTGGAGGTGAGGCAACTCTGCCTCTTTTTGGAATGAATGGCACATGCTTGCAAAGCAGCTTTTCCATAGATGGGGCATACCGTGTTTCCCCGAAAATAAGACAGGGTCTCATGTTGATTTTTCCTCAAGAAGACACCCTAGGGCTTATTTTCAGGGGATGTGTTATTTTTTTTAAGTACGGTACAACCATCTGCATCAATTCAAATAGAGTGAAGTCATCTTCTTCTGGAACATCATCCTCACTCTCCAGACCCCGAACCCCATCCTGAATGTCTTGCGACTCTGTTTCCTTTAAAGCCACCGGCCCCGATCTCTCCTGTCGAGCACTAGAGCTCTCACGGGGCGGATGAGAAGGGCTGCTCGTGTTCTTTCCCGCTCCGCGAGGACACGCATCGGTTGTGCAGATGCGCTGAGCAGCCACGCCCGTCACTAGGGCTGATTTTCATAGCCACGCCCACCACCACGACTTATTTCCATAGCCACGCCCACCACTAGGGCTTATTTTCATAGCCACGCCCACCACCAGGGCTGATTTTCATAGCCACACCCGTCACTAGGGCTGATTTTCATAACCACGCCCACCACCACGACTTATTTTCATAGCCACGCCCATCACTGGGGCTGATTTTTGGGGTAGGGCTTCTACTGTGCACGTGCTTAGACATCCTGCTGGGGCTTGTTTTATGGGTGGTTCTTATTTTCGAGGAAACACGGTAGTCTCTGTGCAAGGAACCATCAAAGTTTACTAGTCTATCAAGTTCTATTTCTTCCCTGATCCTCTGACACAAAGCATCCCAACTGGTACATCTGGTGAGTATAGCTATGATCGTCTTAGCTCATGGGTGGCCTGGGATACCTGGAGCCCTTGACTAGTCACTTCAAGCCAGCCCCAAACAACGCCACCGGTTTGCCCCAAAGTATGATATTCAACAAGTATTGCCTATGTGTAAAATGCCATGAAGATCGCTGGCATATGATACAGTCCAACTAGCACGACTACATTGAGTTCTGTATAAAATTAAACTGATAATCATCATAATAATTCCTACTTTTAAAGTGTTCACATTGTGTTATATGTGTCATTTAGAGACTCAGATTTTAGTCTTACCAAAACTCTGTAAGGCAGGTTTTCATGGCTTACAGAGGATGAAGCCAAGGCCAGAGCCAAGGATAGCCACCAGGACATTAGCAGTCGAAACTGGAATTCACGTCTCCCTACTTTACAGCCATGTCTAGCACAAGAAAATCCCAAACCAATTTGGGATCATATACACAACAATAAATTAGTTTACACCGTAATAGAATCCATTTTTTTCTCGTGTTGATCATGCCTTTTTTCTACTACTTTTTCTACTACTTCTACTACTTTTCTACCTTTAGCTCCTTGTACATTAAATATTTTCCAGAAAGGTGGCTAAAAAACCCCTTCGACAGTGCCTACCTCTGAGAAGGGAGAGAAAACAT